ATCAGTCTAGCGCGACAGCCTAACTTACCTACGCAGGAGGCAGGCATCTTGACCTAGTCTTAGGATCCCACAGTGTGCGGCAGAAGCGCCTTAGTCCAGCAATTCTGGATATCAGCGCACACTGACCCCCCCCCCCCCCCAAGTTAATCGAAAATAATCACATGAGCCGGAGAAATGCTCTAGATCAATTTCACATACCGTTTTTCCAAACGTTGAAACGACAGCTAGCAGCAGCTTTGCATATTTGATGCTGCTACACAGGCGTGTCGACTCTTGCAACAGTTTAGCTGCTAGTTTACGCTGTAGTGTCTCATCTAGACTCGGTTGTCCACTAACAATCAACTGCACAATTGGGACGACCTCATCAGTCCACAAATACATCGGCTCCAACGTGTAACTGTATGAAATAAATATTTCATTGGCTCATTACGATAGACTGTCTTCGTTGAAACTTTTAGCGTGTAACCGTATGAAATAAATATTTCATTGGCTCATTACGATAGACTGTCTTCGCTGAAACTTTTAACGTGTAACTGTATGAAATAAATATTTCATTGGCTCATTACGATAGACTGTCTTCGCTGAAACTTTTAACGTGTAACTGTATGAAATAAATATTTCATTGGCTCATTACGATAGACTGTCTTTGCTGAAACTTTTAACGTGTGCCTTACCACAGTAATCATGTTGTGAAGCAAAATCTGCTAAAAAGTGTATTATTTTAAGGCATAGCATTTTAATTAACACTATTACATTATAATTATATCAATGGGTAACTAATTACATACATACCTAAACACAAAGGTTTTGCTTTCACTGAGTAACGTGTCCTTCACAAGTCTAGCGATCAAGTCACATTGTACAGCACCTACAAAAAATAACAAATTATGGACTGAATCAGATACTAGTACAAGCCCCTAAAACAATTTCCACATTATTTAAAATACCTATTTAAACACGTGGTACTGGACAAAAGCAATGTACCATGTCATTACAAATGCATAGGTTGACATCTTCTGTGAAACTGTGTCAATAAGCAAACATATGTGACAATGAGTAAACTCTGAAAGGATCCCATAGCAATTTATGCCAAGGCTTAACACCATCTCCATTTTCAACAGCCATACGTTCCCAATTTCTAGTTCATGTGATGGGCACAGAATGTTACAATACTTGAGTATAATAGAATAGAAAACTAAAAACTTTATACAGCCTGTGGTCTAACGTGTTTAACGTCTACTTTAACACGTACCAATAGCATTATTTTTAAAGCAACTGAGAATCACCCCTTCAGCAACCTGCTTCTGAAACTGCTTTGCAAATGAGCCTATTGTTGTCATGAGGAGTCTCGATGGAGTGTGCTGCAACCCTGCTACCTGATGAACAGAGAATAACACGCTTGCTAAAGAGCTCTATCCTGCTCCACCTTCCACATGCACACTCTAGTTACACTAGAATTCCATAACAGAGCAGATAGATTCATAAGCATCATAATGGCGATATTTATTCTGATGTAAATACCACTATAAAACCTAACCCTATAACTGGCACCAACAGGTACATGAAAGATGTTAAACCACATGCAAGATGTACCTTTAGTCATACCAAGATATCTTGGTGGATGCACAAACCTTGGGGTAAATTGCCTGTTCGCAAAACTGCACACATGCCGAGTAACTCATGTCTGTGTGTTGATCTCTTAGGTTGGTGCAGATTCCCGCAAGTTGCTTTACATCGACAGAATCCAATTGCAAGAACTTACATAGATGCGAAACCTGCAGACATGCACACGCATAATATAAGCAATGGTACACCAAATGAATTAGGAAACCCAGTGCATCAATTCCTTTATTTCATGACAAAGCACTTTTTCGGTTTATGAAAAGTCATATTTACACTGTAAGTGCCCATGCTTGGTAACCAACACTGTAGAATAGTTAGGTCATATCTTTTGGCTACCAGAGACTCAATGTGCCAAATAAAACATAGCTAGCTAATTGTGTACGACTGGTCATGTAAGAGGCTTATTTTTTGAAGGTGAGACGGTTTGTATCTGGACTTAAAAGGTGACTAAGCGATCATTGGGAACCTCACATGAACATAAGCAGTGTACATGTTTGCTAGTCGTAGACTAGTAGTGCGGTCACACAATTCACCATGACTTTCAAAAACCGTTCGACTCATTTCCTGTCTTTACTAGGTACGGATAGCTAGGTTATTTACACTTGTGCAAGCCTATTCAAATGCGCAGCAACTGTGATTAGAAAATTATCTACCTGTGACGGTGACACGCTTGAAAGGAGATTTGCTACCTCAACAATACAGCTGCCATCAGTGCCTGCACTGTTTAGGGAATCACGTAGCTTTGCAGCTCCGTCGGCAACACCACAGTCTAATCCAATCTCACTTTCACTGTCATGGTTCACTTTCTGGTCTTTATTATGATTGCCATTTTCTACTTGGCACACTTCCAGGGCCACCGGCAATGGTTTTGGTTCAAATCCATTAATGTTACTGAGATCATTGTCCCCTTCAATAAAACAGAATTTTAGACCTTTTGCTAGACCACGAGTCTATGGCAACCCTGTCAGCAATCGCCACAAATGGGGAATTGGCCATGGTGAATTTTAATTTGATATATTCTGGTTCTAAAAACTTACAAAGCCATTTTTGTAAAATGTTCTGGTTGCGACTAGATTTCACATTGAACCTTGTAAAGGATTCATTGTCTTTTTGCATCAATTTTACTGTGGCTACATCAAAAAAAGGTTGTACACTCCTGTGCTAGACAACCTGGGTACGAGTATATTACGATATATGGCATATGAGTATATGGCATTCTGCATCTGTATCTGGTTAGAAGCTCACTAGGCTACTGAGCACAAGTACTCCTGCAGGTTGTATTACCATTTGTCAATTTTTACTTTTTATTTCAGTATATTCTCAATTTTGGTGCCACTTGCATCGCTTTTACTGTAAGTGTAACTGAATGAAGCAAGGTTTAATAAAATGCTCGCAAATATAAACGAAGACAAAGCGTACCTAACTTCCTCTTTTTACTAGAAATCTCTGCGTCGGCAAATGAATTACTGTTGATTTCTGCTAGTGAAGCCGTATTAATACTATTACTAGTAGTAGTATTAGTATTATTATTGTACAAGTTTGGAGATGAACACGCAAGACGTCGCCATACGCTGACAAAATTTAATGATTTACGGCGCAATTTATCAGTAACTGATTTGGCTAAATCTATATGTCCACTTGTGAACTTGTACGTCTGCATGATAACTAATCAGAGAATTGGATGTTGTTGTTTGATCACAACGTTAACAACGTTGACAACGATGGTAACGTTAACAGTAACAGTAACTGATTTGGCTAAATCTATATGTCCACTTGTGAACTTGTACGTCTGCATGATAACTAATCAGAGAATTGGATGTTGTGGTTTGATCACAACGATGACAACGTTAACAACAATTTCAAAACACTCGCGCAAATTCCATGATGAAACACGGCTCAGCGGTTATAGCGCCATCTATCATCTCGAATAGTATAGCAGCCCTGTGTCACTCCGCCCTTACAATTTATAAGTACTGTATTTAAATACAAAAAACCAACTTAGCTTGCCATCTTTTATTTCATTGCTTTTATACGCAAAGAACTGTATTTATTTAAAACTGTAATATACAAATGATAACAATACGTAATATAATTATCTAAAGTATAACAGCACTATATTGCGCAAGTCGACAATGTGGGTAACGTGTTTACAATTCGCTGACGTACTATTTTACTGACTAACCAACCGAGAGAGAAGACATTATGAAAATATGAATCAGTGGTTTAAATGCGTCAAACTAGTCGTACTTCCGTATTTCATCATAGGTAGCATATTTAAATGGTTATGCGTTACTTTAAGCAAGCTAGATGGATATACCTATGAAAATATAGACTATATTGTAGGTGCTTATAAATCGTCAAAACGACATGGCCATGACTCACTGCCGCTGGTTCCGTATGTTTTATACGAAGTGCAACGCAATCCAACGTCATTGACTAGTAGCATCGCATCATTAGTAGGATAAGCATTGACTTGGTTTTACAGAACGAAGGATCTTATTTATTATATCATACGCTATCGATTCTGTCACAGTCGTACATGTTAATGCATGACCAATGATGAACAATCAATCGGCGGCAATGAAACCACTTCATAAGGACGAACGTGATCCCGTGTTTCATCTACACAATGTCGACGTGTGGCCTATAAGCGAGCTGCTGCTGAAGGCAAACGACAGATCGAAGCCTAACATGGATGTGAGAAAGCCAATATTTGCACGACTTGACGACAGGGGTCAACTGACTGGAAGAGAGAAATTGGGTATTTCTGCGGCTCCCGGTACAGGAAAGATGGACTTCAATATCGGGCATTATTACTCTCGATGTGCATCGCTGCATGTTCAGGTGAAGGATCCTCATGGTACACAGGGTTTTTGCAACATGAAACTCGTTGGCGGAAATGCTACTCCAACGCAAGGGCACGTAGATTGGAAAAGGCCCATGGAATACCATAATATTGTGCCGAGCATATCATTTGCATCAATTCTAAAGAAACCCCCGTATGTAGACCGTTTTGTAGCGCAGGGCTATTCGGGCAGTATGCAGCCGTCGCATTATAATGATATCGTCAGAAATGCAAAGCCACACAGTGGTCAAGCCGAAACTGCACATGACAGAACACAAAGTTGTGTGGATGGCAAGCATACCAAACGTGGGTCGTCAAGGTTTGGTGATAATAACGGCAGAAATATGAACACTGTGATAGGAAATGGAGCCAAGTCTTCGATAGATGTCCCAGGAGCTGAAAGTAGTGTCTCATCCAAAAGACGCCAGCTTCATAGACACTCGAAGTTCGCAAATGGGAAACCACCTCACGAGAGGGGGAAAGGTTCTCCGAGTTCATGTACAGATAAGAAGTCCGAAATTAGTAACAATGCAACACGCTCACATACATCAGGCAGTGCAAGTAACCAGCGCAAACGTGTGGGTGGTGATGTGGTTAACACAGGTAATCGTGGTGCAGCTTCTGAACGGAAAAGTGCTCCGAATTCGTGTACAGATAAGCGGTCCGAAATTAGTAACAATGCAACATGCTCACAGACTTCAGGCAGTGCAAGTAACCAGCGCAAACTTGTAGATGGTGATGTGGTTAACACAGGTGGTTGTGGTGCAGCCATTGAATCGAAAAGTGCTTCTGGTCGTAAGCGAAGGCGTAGGAAGAGGAGAGGCACTCCTAATGTTAACTGGAATAGAAGAAACGAGAAAACACCTTTGGCAGAGCTGCAAAAACCAGAAGGCACGCTGGAAAAATATGACTGTTTTGATGGAAAGAGCATCGCTGAGAATCGGACATCCGAAAATGAACCGACTGCAGAGCCGATCCCCACGACACAGCGAAGTTACGCTAACGTCGTGACGTGTGCTCGGACCGCGTCGCCGCCACATGCAATTATGAAGACGCTACAGTCTGACAGCAAGTTTGACATTGACAAGCTGGACGGGCTCAGTCGAAACATGAAAAAGTACGATCGCGAAAATTTGGTGCGACGGGACGAGAAATTGTCGGCAAGCCCTACGACGAGGTTGCAGGTCAGAACTAACGTGAGCAGTGCCCTCTACTGTTCACAAACGAGGAATGATAGTGTACCCACGATACGAGGAAACCACGTTGTCATGTTGCAAAGGCCTCCGACGCCTGAATTCCCCACAGTGAGGAGTGCGCACGCTCTCGTACCGCCCGCAATGAAGAGGTCAACGCCTACCAACAGATTGCCGTCGAAAGACGTGCCGTCAAACACGCCGTCCGTTCTACCGATCGTAAACAGTGAAGCGGAGAGACCGGTTGCTGCTGCGCTGAAGGATCAACTCATAACGAAGCCGAGCAGCGTGTCGGTCGTCTGTGTCGTTGCATCCGTTCCTGCTCAGAGCCTACGTCGGCCCGTGACAGGACGAGCAAAGGCCTCGTTGACCACGCGAGGAACGCAGACGAACATCAGTCAGGTCGCGAACGCGCCGCTGTTCGTTCACGTCGCGTGTCGACCCGCGAAGCAGAAAAAGCCGTCGGCGAAGAAGCTCTGGCAGGGGGAGCTACGCGAGCTGGTGGCAGGGGGCGCCACGTCGGTGGCTGCACCGCCGCCGCAGCAGCAGCATGATCTGTGCGAGGCTGCGGTGCAGTGCGACATAACGCACGGCGAGGCGTCGCACGTCAGTTATGTGCAGCACTTCCCCGCGGCGACGGCGGCGCCGAAAGACGCGGCATCTCCGCGGTTCGTGGCGCAGTCGGGGCCAAGCGAGAGCCGACGCGGGCCGTCGAGCCTCGAAGCCCGCGCGCTAACTGACGACGACGACGACGATGACTACGTGATCGCCGACGGTGCGGGTCGGCGCGCGGCGAGCGAAGGCGACCTCGCGCGTGCCGCGTCGCCGCCGCCGGCCGCGAGAAAGACGTACACGAACACGGCTCTCAGCTTCATACTCGGCGCGTGCAGCGATGACAGCGACTTCAACGACGACTGGTCGTCGGAAGCGGAGTCCGAGGCGGCGGCGGCAGCAGGGGGGGACGACACGGAGTGGCGGTGCATGTTCGAGCAGCATCCTCTGCTCGGCGGACTGATGCTGAGGTCGAGCCGCGGCCTCGAAACCTCGGCTAGCATGCCCTCGCTGCATGTGGCGAGCGACTCCTCTAGTCCACCCCCTAGCAAGCCGACTGAACGAGGGCTCGGCGAATCGGCCGGGACGGCGGAAGAGTCTAATTCGAAGAAACAGGTAGCCAGTCAGTGATGCTAGTGACATGGTTTCGTTTCTAGTGCAAAATGATTTCTTGTTTGCAGTAATGCAAAGCTAGCATTTGGGAGTTAGTCTAGTTGTTATTATTGTACAAGGTTGATACCACACAAATATTATGAGATTGACGTGAGGTGAATCAGATGCGTAATGCTATTCCTGGCCCGAATATTCGAATTCACTAAAGCATGAGTAGGGGAAGGGTGCGGCATGCTGAGAGCATGACCTTTCTATGTTTATGATGTATTTACGTGTTGTTGTTTATTGCGTTTCAGGTGAAATTTGCCAAAAATCTTGTGAAGATACATCCAATCATCTGTTGGGCGCATGCATACAGAGCAGCAAGGAAAGGACCGTGGGAGGAATATGCTCGTGACCGGTAATTACAGTGCTAGCACGCCTGCCGGATGCTCTTTCAATGTTGGCAGCGATGAGCTGGGATCTTTGGCTTTGCGAAATATCACGATGACCTTAATCATAAAGGATTTGCATTTGGACATTTCAGTTTTGTTGCAGTGATGTTTTGAGCATATGTTTGCAATGGTGTTTTGCAAAGCCGATGGTCCCTGCTTATCCCTGCCAACATTGAAAGCGTATCCGGCAGTCGTGCTAGTACTGCATTTGCGGTTGTAAGAATGACCGTCTGACAGGGTAATTTGTAAAATGTTTTCTAAATTCTGGCTAGAAATTACATCAGGAATAATGCCAATTTAGCTGCCCTGGGGTAATTGAGCCACTGAGACACAACAGAGTACAAATGTAGAAGAGATACCTTCTAGTATGGTGTGAGACGTCGCTATAAAAAGTAAGGATGGTATGTCACTTGAGAGCTTGTGGGGAGGCGCCTCATGCTGCGAGTGAAGAAATGTGCATTTGAGTGCAATTTCCTCACTAGGTGCTGCTGCAGCGTTATGGTTGCATTGAAGCGTGACCATAGCAGGGCATAACATTGGCCAAAATGTGAGCAGACCCACCCGAAAGTTTAAACAGGCCCTTACAAGTTTGAACCGGCCATAATTTTGTTCAATTTATTCCATTATTAATAAAAGTATTAGCTTTATGTTTATAAGGCATACTCGTAGTATTTCAGTATTTCATTGCTATCAGTGGAGGTTTACTTGTTTGACAGGAATTGCTGGAACATGATTTACTTCTTAGTAGTCACTAAGTAAAAACTATTCGGGAAATTGGTAAATATTGTTGATATAAAGGCAAGATAGGCAGAAAAAAATTATAAGCCAAGTGGACTGATTATATGGAGGGTTGAACCGGCGACTGCCGGCAAAATAGCGCTACTTTCGCGCACTGCCATAGCGCTGCAGCCTTTGCATGTGGTTTGTTCTGAGACGAAGCATGTAATAGAGATAGGCAGTCAGAGAAGCTTCTTAAGAGTTGTTTTTAAAGAGTGGGAGAATTTCATGACGAGGACATCCAAAATGTGGAGTAAAATTTTGATGCTATTTGGGATGTATTGGGTACTACTTTGCGATGCATATAAATTCACTATTCTTACGCATGTTTCTTTTATTCAGATCTCGATTCCAGCGCCGAATTTGTACATTGGAACCGACTCTCGCGAAACATGTTAATCTTCAACACCGGGATGCGGTCTACAAGAGAATGCAAGAGTGTGAGCAGGAGCGTGATTAATGTTACTGTCTGAACAGTGAACTTTCGTAAACTTTTTTTAGTTGGCATAATTTTTGAGTAAGGGGGTAGATAATGGCAAAATAAGAAATCATTTAAGGATGGCCCAACTGACTGGAAAAATATTAGTTGGTCTGCATTGCTTATAATGACATTGCATGTCAAGTCGAAGAATTTTGGTAGCGATGCTACAGATTCACTATCCATGAGTATTTGGGTAAAAGCATAAAGTCAGTAGGTAATCGTTATGATAAACAGTCTATATATTTCCAACAAACACGGGTGTGAAATTTGAGCAAAGTTCTAAAGCAGTGTTCCCCTTTCTTGAGTGTTTACTACAATGCTTTGTAAGTTGTATATAAATGCTGGTTCATGGACACAATTGCAATTTATTCGAATTTGGGATTAGACCCGAGTAAGCCAGTTCGCTCTTAACCATTGAGCTATGTCTAATATAGCCCATAGTGGAACAACGATCGTTTACATTACCCCACAAACTACCAGCCCTTTCCCCTGAACACTGGGTTGTGATAAAGACAGTAGAATTCATGGTGAAACACCCATCCTAATCATCTCGACTTGCCACTTGTTACATGTTTATTTAAAAATGTATTCTTTCGGAAATGTAAAGTTTGTCAGAAACCATATAAACAAATTTTTATAGTTTTTCAAAAGATTTATACTGGTGATGCGTGTGCGTTGTTATAATTTGTTATTTGTATTAAAATAGTATACACATGATATGTGATGGTTTTGTACGATGCTGTTGACTAAATCAGGATGTCAGAATGTGCGTTCTCTTACTGACAGTGTGATAATTTCAGATGGACATCTGCAATATGTAAAATTACAGGTGTTTTAACCAGGGTACCCATTTCTATTATTAACTATGTGTATGTAGAATAAACAGCAATAGAGTTGAGCATACTAGAGACTAGTACAATCTGAATGATATTTAATATATGGATATATAAAAGAAATCATTTGACAAATAAAAATATACTGTCATTTACACAATGTTTCAAGATTTTCTAACACACTGAAAATCAAAATATAACTTATTACATTACAGAAGTTTAAGTTTACCAATATATTTGTGCAATTGTTCCACAATATAAAACTACACTTGTAATTAGGCAGGCCTTTAACCATGCAGTGTTCAACATTGCATCCTTCTATTTACACTTTAATGCTTAGAGGAAATTTATACTTGACTTCTGGTGATGAAAACCAAGACCATCAATGCAAGAGTTGGGAATTACTTTGCTCATGGAAATGCTCGTGATTATAAAACAATGGAAACCTGCATATATATGTTTCTTCTATCATGTAAAGATAAGCAGATATAGCAACTTGAATTTATTACTCCAGAGATGGTGAATTTTGAAGTTCCAGAAAATTGGAAAATATATTAATCTGGAAAGAGACGTTGGCAAAATGCACTGGAAAATCCTCCAGATAACATCCTCCTATGTTGCAGTTAGATTAGTGACGCTTACCTCTATATATATTACATTAAATTGCTCACATTGAATGTACATATCGGATCACAGGTTATATCATGGTCAACATCAGCTAGTGTTTGTTCGTCTGCGTATCGTGTACTTGGCCTTTTGAAGTTGTGAAAGAAATATCTTCATCTTGGTGCTATCTGTTACCTTTCTCACGCAGAACTAAAATTCAAAGATTTTGCCCATTAGCTGATGCTTGATTTATGCAGTACACTAAATATCATATAACTAAATATATAATACTATATATTGAATCCGAGCCCTTTTGTTGTCTTGCCATATAATGTTTTAACACTTGACAGAAGCCATGCCATGCAACCTGTATCACATTACATTCACTCTTTTGTACGACTACCATTCACGCTACCCACCGTTACAAAATCTTATTTACCACGCTCACTCGCGCAGTGCGTATAGAAAACCCACCGTAAAGGCACTGTAAGCTGCATTTATAAGGAAATCAAAGTAAAGTAATAGAGCTAGCTAAGCAACATTATTATTGATTAGATAGCATACCTCATTTGCTCCAATAGCACTAATCACAGCACTGATTTTACCAATGTCTTTGCCTTCCAAGAAAATCGCATTTCCCCGATGAAACCTGAAACGATGAAAATTACATTTCCAACTAATAAAATCGGTAATCCATTAACAACCAACAAGATGTAATCAGCAAAATCCCACAGGAATTCGAAGTAGGAAATAATCCTATGAACTCACAATCAAGAGCTCTTCTCGTTGAAAAATACGCACGAGTCTAACAAATCACTGAACCACTAATAATAAATCACAGCCGTAATTAATGCAGATATATAAAGTCAGAAAGAATTATCGCAAGCTAACAAACGTACCACTTCTTTTCATAGAAAAGTTTCCCATCTTCTATTCGGTATTCTGGTTGTGTGTCTGTAGATATACCTGCATAACAAAAATTGACATGATTGTACGTGATATTACACGAGAGGGCCGACTCCCAGTAAATCTCCACCCTCGAAAGACAACGATGTAAGACGAGTGAAATGACGCGCACGATCGCACGCTGTACGTACTCGGATTTGGCTTCTTCACGCCGGTCGACGACAATCCTTTGCCCTTGGCGATGACCTTCATGTCGTCGGCTATGTCTGTGTCGCTGAGCACGATGTTGAGCGTGCTGACGCCGTTCTTGCGGCCGACCTTGTTAGCGATGGGCGGCGGGTCGTGCGGCCTCCTTCGCAGCTTCCTCGTCGTTACTGGCTTCACTTCCATAGAGTCTGAAGCCACGGAGATCGTCATGACAACGACAGCACGCGACAGCATCATGTATAGAATTATATATATATCATATTACGGCGTGTATAGAGAGAGCAACAACCGTACCGAGGCGTCACGAGCTCAGATGGTAAACAGTGGCAGTCTCAGTTACGATAAGCGCCACTAGATGGCAGCAGCGACTTGTGTAGCACTTTTGAGTTTCTCCACGCTTTAGGTCAAATAAAGTCACAAGTTGGAATATGACGGACTATACGAGGATACATGTGCAGTGATTGTAAGGCCTAACTTAGGCACGACATACTGAATAACATGCTTTTTGCACTGTCCTTTTTTAACCGAAATTCAGTGCATTCAGAGCCCCCATCAGCATCATTTTTGGCTCAAAAACAAAGCTTTACATTTGTTACAAGAATGACAATGAAAAGAAGGCTGCAGGTGGATTATGAATGAAGGGGCAGCTTTAAATTTGAACGAAAATAAAATCTCAAAAATTGTGATTCACTCAATTGTACCGATCATCATTATCCATTATTAGCAATAATTTTCTATGAGCAAGCCTCTCTGGGAACAGTATAGTACGATACTAAACAAGTAGCAGTATCAGCAATGAATTTAGTTTGGTGCAATAGTGACACTAGTGCGGAAACAAATAAATTTGTTCCAGAGAATTTGTCCCTGCTCAATACTGGACAAAGAAGGTAAGGGAGAAGTAAGTTCTTCACACCTCCAGTCAGTTCCATAGAATGCCGCTCGCCGTCAACCATTCTCTTTTTCTCGTCCAATTCGATTATGAGGTTCTCCTTGAGCTCAATCTTCTTCTCCTCAAATTCCTTCACAGCTGCTTTCTTCTCATTTATGTACTCTTGGTCGATTGCCGTGACCTAATAAAGTTTTCATGAAATTAAATACTGCTCACAACATTCCAAAACGTGTCAGTGAAATCTTTTAACACGTGGAATTGTTTAGAAGACACGTACAACTTTTGTTTTTGCTCAGTAAGAGATCAACAGTATTGTGCAACATGTTCTAAGTTGTACTATTAGCTGGAGTTGGAGATTACATTGAGTGAATTTGATTTCTGCATTTACAGTAATTGTTTATCTGGTGCATAATTTAACAATTATTAAAAACTATACACACAGCATAGGCATGGTATATCTCTGCAAGTCGCTTCCTCTCACGATACTGGACCTCCAGCTTCTTCAGCTGCTTGTTATACTCAATATGACTGCCTTCTTGTAACTGCTTTAGCTGAGTCTTCAATGATGCTAGCTTATCCTGGTACATCCTAGAGGAAACAACGAGGGGACAGAATGAACATGAACGATGTTCAGATATAGGACTCCACACATTCAGACATCAGACATAGGCAGTAGGAATATAAAATCTCAGCTCCATGTAATGTTATATTTGTACCATAATTACTTTTACAAAATTACAACCTTTAGTGACACATTGGAGAAAAATTTACGATTTCATTCTGATCGGATTCACCATACATGAAGAGAGATGGAATGTTTTGCACATTTGCCATTTACTTATCAATGCTGATAGGGTCTATGTCCCCCAGGGTACTGCCGGAACGTACCCTGGGTACGGTCCGGTATACCGGAACGTACCCTGGTAGCTATCTAGCTGATATGGTTAGGGTTAGGGTTAGAGTTAGGGTTAGAGTTAGGGTTAGGGTTAGGAAGTAGGCGTAGGCGACTCCCTAGACTCGTTAGTGGAGTAGGCGAGGTACGGTCCGGCATATTTGATAGTTACCAGGGTATGTTCCGGTATACCGGACCGTACCCAGGGTACGTTCCGGCAGTACCCCGGGGGACATAGAAACTACAACCTTTAGTGACACATTGGAGAAAAATTTACGATTTAATTCTGATCGGATTCACCATACACGAAGAGAGATGGAATGTTTTGCACATTTGCCATTTACTTATCAATGCTCATAGCGTCTATGTCCCCCAGGGTACTGCCGGAACGTACCCTGGGTACGGTCCGGTATATCGGAACGTACCCTGGTAGCTATCTAGCTGATATGGTTAGGGTTAGGGTTAGAGTTAGGGTTAGGGTTACGGTTAGGGTTAGGAAGTAGGCGTAGGCGACTCCCTAGACTTGTTCGTGGAGTAGGCGAGGTACGGTCCGGCATATTAGATAGTAGTATTTAGTACCAGGGTACGTTCCGGCAGTAACCTGGGGGACATAGACCCTATCAGCCTTATCAATCTCTATACATTCGTCTCTGCCCCACGCTAGTTCAGCTTGATGAGTACAATCGTATAAGGATCACACTTACTGTTCCTTAATTTCTGTAAACTCTTCTTCCATCTTAACCATATCTGTTTCACTTGCATCCTCTGTGCCTAAATGGACAAGTAGTGAAGTACCGGCGTTAGTATGTGGTATTGGTAATCAAATTCAATAACAAAACAAAAAGCTACCTATCAGTATCAGACACAAAATATCATTAACACTGTAAATTGTAATGACGATTACAGTCACCCGGGAAATTCCGATAAGATGGTAAAACATGTGTAACGTAGTAATTTATTACTACTAGTATGTACATGCATTACAATTTACATCAAATGAAATCATCTTCAATGTCGCTCTGCTGCTGCTGTTGTCCGTTGCACTGTTGTTGTCATTGTTGACATGATTGTTGGTGTTGTTGTATTGCGCGTGCTGTACGGTGTACACAATGCAGTTGCTATTAAAATTCATTAATATATAAAAAGAACCTGAATCAGAAGCTAGATCTTTGCAGTACTCCCTGTCAGACAAATCACTCTCGTCGTCGTTGAATTCGTACTCGTCACGAAATCCTGAAAAACTACTAGCCATTTTGAGATGCGAAAGCTGGTTGCCTCCAGCCATACAGAGTTCGGCTGGTTATTCGCCTGCTCAATGCAACAAAAATTAGCACACTTTTCGCGCGGTTTCCAACCATAGTTTCCAACAGAGCATTCCAACCATAGAAATAGATAGATAACCTTAGGTTAATAAACTTAATAACCTTAAATTAACTTAACTTAATAATTAAACTTAATTAATAATTTAACTTAACTTAAATTAACCTTAACTTAATAACCTTAGATAATTTTAGGTTATCTATCTATTTCTATGATTCCAACCAACGCACATACGTGGCTGAGATACGTGGTATATACAGCCTAGCTCCAAGAAACGGTATTGCTAGAGTTAGAATACCGTCAATAGGGTTAGAATAACGTCAATAGGTGTATTGACGTTAGTCACACAGCCTGGTCGGGTTATATACAGCCGTGCTCTGTGCTAGCTGGAGGTAGCGTTACCCATGATAGGTGTAATTGAAAATGAAACTGTCATATTATATCTCCATATTATCTTGATATTATGTCCATCAACTAAGTCTTTTTTCTTCTCTGCTTAATTGTAAAATTGAAACTATTTCTTCCGCAATCCGCAGATGATATGGCCGTTTTTGCATGCCTACCACTGTCCAAAAATTATATATTATTTTGCTGAAATTTAAAGTTTATCCTTATTTATCTTAAGTCGATAGAACACACCACATCCAGCTAAATATTGACATGACATGTCTCCATATCAATTTCTCCATTTATAATTTTTCCCGTCTTTCCGAATTTCTCCGAGCATCTGACATGATCTGTTCATGCAAACTCAGTCACTATAGCTGTCAAACGAAATTATGTTAGTCGTTTGGCGTAGTAGGGAGCGCATATCCGCGGGTAGTTTGATATGAAAAATGTAAATTCTAGTGTTTCACCACGATTCATTTAGGGTTGTCAATCTTCCCGAATTTCTCGATTAAAAATCATGTTTAGGTCAGATATTCCCCCAATATTCCTACATTTTACGATAACGCAAGATCAATCTGTGTATGCTTATGTTTATGTAGACTATGTAAGCCTATGCTCATGCAGTATATCTGGCTAACGAAATATTAGGTGAATATATTTGGAATATATATAGGCCTACTACACTGAGCATATATTCATGAGTAAATTGATGTGAAAAATGTCTATGTGTATGAATATCTATACGCATGTGTATAATCTTAAAATGATATTATGATGTGTAATACGTCTGAGTATAATATAAAAGTATGCGCGCGCGTTATGCGATTGTTATAGAATTGGACTGTGCTGCAACCTGGTGGTAACCTTGCGTTACTTGTATCGCAATAAATGATTCAGCGAAACATATGCTTATCAAGAGCTCATAATAGAGAACTCTATTGTGAGCTCTTGATGCTTATACATAACAACCCGGAGAACGGCTTGCCCTTCACATATGGGAAAGCTCTCATTTCAATGAAGATGAAGCACTGATAAAAATATATGCTACTTCATTATTAATAATTAATATTATTATTATTGTGAATCTTTCATCAGCTAGGTAAATTATTCACTGCTGTTTTAATGTTAACCTGTAGGTATACCTGCCTGCCCCGTCTGCCTGCTTGTAAGCGAAATATGTTCAAAGCCTGTTGTCTGTCTGGCTGGCTGCCTATTCGTGCGTTTGGTTGCCTACCTGCACTCCCGCTTTCCATGTTTGCCTGCCCGCCTTCGTCCTGTCTTTCCCACTCAGCCATGTATCTTCCCGCCTGCTTGCCTGCCAGCTCGCCCGTCAGCTTGCCCGCCTGTCCGCCCGCCCGCCTGCCTTCCTGCCTGTCTGCTTGCCTGCCAGCTCGCCCGTCAGCCTGCCCGCCTGTCCGCCCGCCCGCCTGCCTTCCTTTCTTCCTGACTACGTGTCTGTTTGCCTGTCTGCCTGCCTGCTTGCTTGCTTGCTTACCTGCCTGCCTTCGTGCCCGCTTGCCTGCCTGCCCATTTGCCTTCCTTTCTATATCTGCCTACGTGTCTACCTGCCTGCCCATTTGCTTTCCTTTCTATCTGCCTACGTGTCTACCTGCCTGCACGTACCCCTCCTAGACTGCCAGCCTGCCTCCAACCCTGCCTGCCTGCCTCCCAGCCAGCCTGCACACCTGCCTGCTTAGCTACTTACGTGTCTGTCTGCGTGCATGCCTGCCCGCTTGCATTCCTGTCTTCTTGTCGTTCTGCCTGTTCTCTTGCTTTCCTTCCTGCTTGCCTTCCTGCCTGCGTGTGGTCCCGCCTACCATGCAACATTTATCATGATGGATAAGGCGCGCTCGCGTCGTTGAGTGCGTGTGATACGAGCGCACGTTGCAATCGCTGTCATCGATAACTATTAAAGTACAATCTCAGATGCTGTTATCTTTCCGTAGTGGTTTCCATGGCAACCGCGCCACCTGTCTGGACACCTGCTACGCGATAGAGAGAGAGAGTGGAGGCTTCGAAGCATGGCAGCGGAAGCGGGAACCGCGCGAAGAAGGGATGAATCGGAAACCCTCGCACTATAGTAGAGATGGTTTTCCTCCGGCAACGACGCTGACGCAGGAGTGTGACGACGAGCCCTGCGGCGACGCGACGCTCGTGTGCGTCAGCGTCAGCAAAGCTGAGATTTCCGCGCGGCATTCTGCGTCGCGGGAGAGCTGATACTAAATGTCGAGGCAAGCACACAGAACGTAAAGGAAGCATGAACGTAAAGGAAGCATGAACGTAAAGGAAGCACGAACGTTAGGGAAGCATGGACGTTTGGGAAGCATAAACGTTAAGGAAGAATGGACGTTAGGGAAGCATGAACGTTTGGGAAGCATAAACGTTAATGAAGCATAAAGGTTGAGGAAGCATGCACGTTAGAGAAGCATATAGAACGTGAAGGAAGCATAAACGTGAAGGAAGCATAAAAACGAGAAGGAAGCATGCAACGTGAAGGAAAGCGATTGAACGGTGAAGGCGAAGCATGAACGTTGAAGGAAGCTGATGAAGCTAATAGAAGCATGAACGTGAAGGAAGCATGAATGTTAGGGAAGCATGAACGTGAAGGAAGCAAAAGAACGTGAAGGAGCATGTGAACGTGGGGAAGCATGAACGCTTTGAGGAAGCATGAATGTTAGGGGACAGCATGAACGCTGAAGGCAAGCGAAAACAGTGAAGGAACGCATGAGACCGTTGAAGGAAGCGATGAAACGTGAAGGAAGCGGCATGACCTGGTGTGAGAGAGCATGAACGGGAAGGAGCCGTTTTCTCCGATGTTACAGCGTGAACGCGAGCATGACACGTGAACCGGACGCTCATATGAACGTGAAGGCAGAGCATGACGTGAGAAGCTGAACGGTGAAGGAAGCCGCCTCCGATGAACGCTGACAGGTAAACTATGAACGTGAGCGGACAGTTCCGGATGAACCGTGAAGAGCTGATAACGTGAAGGAGCATTGAATGTGAAAGGGAAGCATGAAACCGTCCAATAAAGCATGACGTGAAGGAAGCAGATGCACGAGAAGGAAGCGATGAACGTGACATGAAGCCCATGAACGTTAAGGAAGCCATGAACGTTAACGGAAGCATGCAACGGAAGAAAGCCATGAACGATAATAGAGGGAAATAGATATAGATAAAGAAAGCGATCGAGAGAGAGAGAGAGAGAGAGAGAGAGAGAGAGAGAGAGAGAGAGAGTGATAGAGATTAAGAGATTGAGAGAGAGGGGGCAGTGAGAGAGAGAGAAAGAGTGAAACAAAGAGGAGTGCGAGAGAGAGAGAGAGAGAGTGAGAGAGAGTTAGGCGGATGGGTGGTTAAGAGAACAAGACGCGTGAAATAGAGAGAGTGCGCGCGAGAGATAGAGATAGAGATAGCGAGAGGTTAAAGAGAGAAATCATTGATCATCAGTTGAAAAGAATTTTTAAACGCGCACTCTCACAAGCAGATGTCCGCTTATATGATTACAGCATTAGCCCGCGTAGACTCCACATATATTATTCGTCCAGGCATTCGACGTTTATTTTCTGTGCGCGTCTCTTAAGTAGTTATCGTCTGCGGGACACCGCTTGCAGATGGATCCGAGCAAGTCCTAATGGCGGAGAGATGCATGGAGCGCCGCCGCAGCGGGGCGCGCGCGCCTGCGAGCACAGATGCATGGTCGGGTTAATGGGGAGGAGGGGGGGCAAAGTGGTAGATATAAAGGGTACCGCAGAGAATATACTAGCAGACACCCTTAACTTGGCCCTACGGAAAGCCAGGCGCAGACAAACGGGCGGATAGGCGGACGGTTAGTCAGTCAGAGAGACAGACAGACCGACCGACAGACAGACAGACAGAGAGAGACAGACAAACAGGCAAACAGACAAACAGACAAACAGAGAGACAGATAGCCAAGAACATTGAATCAAGAGATTTTGAAGGCGATAGAGAGAGCGCGAGAGAAAGGGACTGAGAGAGAAAGAAATAGCTGTATGCCGAGAGCGCATACTAGAAGAATATATATATATATATATATATATATATATATATATATATATATACTATATATCAGACATAGCAGACATTACATCATATAATAAAACTGAGGGAAATGGTGTGTTGTGGTTGTGTTGTGTGTGCGGGTGTGCGGTGGTGGCGGTGTGCGTGTGGCGTGGTGCGTGTTGCGTGTGCGTGTGCGTGTGCGTGTGCGTGTGCGTGTGCGGTGTGCGGATGTGGCGTGGTGCGTGTGCGTGTGCGTGTGCGCTGTGTCGTGTCGTGCGCGTTGCGCGTGCGTATGCGTGCGCGTGCGGCGGTGGCGTGTGTGTTGTGTTCGTGTGTGCGTGTGTGGTGTGTTGCGTCGTGTTGGTGTGTGCCGTGTGTGCGTGTTGTGTGTGTTGCGTGGTGATCGCGTGTGTGCGTGTGTTTTGCGGTGTGCGGTGTGGTTGTGTGTGCGTGTGTGGCGTGTGTGTGTGTGTGTGTGTGTGTGTGTGTATATGTGTGGTGGTGAGAGTGTGTGAGTGTGTGTGTGGTGTGTGGTGTGTGTGTGTGTGGTGTGTGGTGTGTG